GTTTAGGGTTTAGGGTTTAGGGTTTAGGGTTTATTGATAGTAGAAGGGACTTCAATGTTGGAATAGGGTTTTAGGGTACGTATCTTATGCACACAGTATGTAGGGGCGAGAAGGGACCCTAAACCCTAAACCCTGAACCCTAAAACCCCAAACCCGGGATTTGATCTACATGCCTCAACCCTACCCGACGAGGGCCTGGAGGTTTCCATGAACTTAGGGTTCAGGGTTTAGGGGCTTAGGGTTTAGTGGTTTAGGGTTTAGAGGTTTCGGCTTCAGGGTTTCAGGGTTTAGGAGTTTAGGGGGATTCATTTGGGGGCAGCTTGAGCTTAAGACTCCGTCAGTTTCCTAAGAGGTTCTAACGTTCGGGGCTTGGGGGCGTAAGGGTTGAAGGGCTGAGATTTTGGTGTTTGGGGCCACGGGGTCTACTACTGAAAACGAAGCAGACCGTAGTGTGGCATCAGACATGCACTTGGTGGCTCCATGGCTCCATTATGATGACAAACCAGCAGGCCAGAGAAACTTTTGAGGCTAGCCACGAATCCACGAAATCCTGAGAAGCAAACTCCTCTAGTACTTCGCTCAACAAGTAAACTTTCTACATGGTCTATGTTGTGACACAAAGGACTGCACCAAGCAGTGTTCAGCTGGTTCATGAGATCATGACACTCCCAAGGCTAAACCTTGCAAAGCTTCTCAACTTAATCTATTAACCCGTCTCAGCCTCGCTCCGCCCTATAGACGCTGAGAAAACGAAAAGCTCTACCCGATTTATCAAGGTGAGGCCCAAACCCGCCCAGGGGGGTTCAAGGGTTTAGGTAAGGGGTTGAGTCGGGGCCCTTATGCGGGGAGGGTTTTCAGAATTAGCTTTTGGGAAGTCGCATGAGTTGAACGAATAGTCTTCCAAGTTGGCTTCTGAGCAATAACTTGGCAAGGATGCATTCCATAGGTTGCAGGTTCCCATAAATTCAGCTTCGGTTTGTTTTCCGGATTTGCCTTTTGAGAAACAACGCATTGTGTAAGTGGCTTTTTGATCAATCAGGCCGAGCTTCGCTTCGAGATACTTCTGCATGCGCTTCTCTTTGATGTCCTCAGCAAAGCTGAAAACCGTAGAAACTGCGCACCTCAGCCAGCGCCTAGTGTAGGGCTTCTGGCTGGAGGCATGAGACGCCTCCCTCAGGCCCCTCAATATAGGGGCCTAAATAATCACCTACTTTGTGGGGGTTCCTTCATGGTATAGTTTAATATACCCCAAAATCCTGTTCTAATTATTGAGGCCCCTGCATTATACCAGAATTCGGTATTGGTTGAAAACTGTGTCGCACACCCACAATGCCGGGTGCATTGGGGATTTCGGCTCCATGATGCGCAAAAACCCTGAACCCCGAAACAGAGGCGCCGGCATCATCATCCAACTTCTGCTGAAGCCTCTGGGAGAGGAATCACTGAACCCTAAACCCCAAACCCTAAAACCCCAAACCCCTTTGGGAGAGGAATCACTGAACCCCAAACCCTAAACCCTAAAGCCCAAAACCCTAAACCCCTTTGGGAGAGGAATCACTGAACCCTAAACCCTAAAGCCCTAAAGCCCTAAACCCTAAACCCCTTTGGGAGAGGAATCACCACAAAAAGCCGCCGCCGCCGGCTTGCGGCTTTGGGAATTTCAGGCTTCGAGCCTTCGAATCTTAAGGCTTGGCCCGAAACCCCTAAACCCTGGGTTTGGGGTTTAGGGTCTTGGGCTTCGGCTTCGGAATCCGTAAAGTCAGTGTCTGACGTCGGGCCGCTGATTCGCGGCAGAAATGCAAAACTTGTAAAATCTAATTTGGCTCAACCATGGTTAGGGAGCCGCCGTGTTGTTCCATCCGGGAAAGCACGGCATCGAAAACTCGCTGTTCCTGGTCTCCCAGCGAGGCAAGGAAAGCATCTCGGGTCGCCTCGTTCGCGACGGCGAATTCCGATAGGGAGCGCTGAG